AAGTCTCAACAATAGTTAACGTGGAATTTCCAATTACTAGGTCACAATCATCTTTCTGGTCTTCTCAAAGATAAAAGTTGACATCGAATAAAGAGCTTTTGGATTGACTTTTTACTATATTGGGTAGCATAAATTTAGACAAAACATCCTTGAAAAGGTTATTCATTAACTGCCTCATGACATGAATTTTGGGAATGTTACTCTGCAAGTGCAAATTTAAGTCTTCAAATAAAGGAACTATATACAGCAAAAAATGAACAAAGGCTTTGTTCAGGTTTGATGACAAAAACATGAAGATTCTTTCTTCTCTGGAAAGAATTTCACTAGGTGGTTTTGCAGATAACTCTTCAACCTTTTGTTTCTTTGATGGAGGCATAACATTGTCATTTTCTCTTTTTTTTCTGATGATCTTTTTTGTCTCTGTGTGAAAGAGGTTCTTCTTAGGAATAACATAATTAGGAAGGGCAACACCCGGAGTGCTCTCCACTTCTTTAAAAAAAGAAGTAAGAGGTTCCCAATGTAGTAAAATTCTTGACAGACAACGTCCAACAGAGAATCATCGAGTAGTAACATGTTTTAATATTTTTCGTACTTCAGTATAATGCAACTCATGGAATTTTTTAAGGCGTTCCTTGCACTTTACGCTCTTTTCTAAATAAAAAAAAATTTGTCCCCAATATATTCTTCAATATTTATTGGCAAGCACTTTGCCCCCCTTTCAGATGCCAAATTTAAGAGACGGCATAGGCATCATAGAACAAATAAGTCTGGAATATCTTTAGTGAGGATTACTGCCACTCCATTTTTTCTTCCTGTCATCACAGGAGCATTATCAACACCTAAAGCTAAACAATTTGCCAAAGGTATTTCACTAGAAGTATCCAAAATGAGCTTAGAAATATTAACTCCAGTGGATTATCGAGTGGATTATGGATTATCCTCTGATTATCCACATGTTTCTGTCTCATAACATGAGCAGATATATCACCTTTGCCTTCATGCATGATCGAGAAATCCACAAAACAAAACGTGCAGAAGGCATAATTCAATCCTTTTTTAGAAGCAATAATTCCAGGAAATTCTTCCAAACAAGCTTGGTTGAAAGAAATTAGGTATTTCTTATTAACTTTTTTTGCTGCCATTATATATATCCACACAGAAAACTAACTAACAAGACAGAAAAACGAACGCTCACGCATAAAAACAAACTCTGATTCGAAGTTGCTAATATTGATTTCACTTCACAGTACAACGAAAACGATCAAAAAATAATTTCTCAGCGCATACTGCGAACATTCTTGCTTCCAAAAGCAGTATTTACGAAGAGAAGCTTGAGTCAGCAGTTATTCTACTAATAGCAGACGCAGAAAGGAAAGGCAAAATAGCACTCTTGATTGGTCAAGATATACAATAAACATCACCACTCAGGCCAGGCCCAGCTCTGACGTAATTGAGATGGATATGAATGAAAACTTAGTTCAGCGTTAAAATAAGTGAAAAAAACGGAAATTTTTGAGAAAATTCCGGAGGAGGAAGTAACTTGCAAAAACCCGGTGTCTCCAGCCAAAAGCCGGAGGGTTGGCACATCTGAAAGAGGTTTTAATCTATTATGTGGTATAAAAAAGGATAAACTCAAGTTCATTTGAAGAAATGAGGAAAAAAAGGGCATTTTTTTCAAAAAAAGTACTAAAACATGTTAAATGTTTCATCATAAACTATAATTTACTATACAAAAAGTAAGTAAGTTACTCACGGAAAGTTTTTTTGTAAAATAAATGCTTCAACTTAGAAAAATAATGTAACATTTTTATTCCTTTACTCTTAAAAGTTTAACTCTCAAGAGTAAATTAAACATAGAATAAAATAAATTTAAGTGTCTAAAGCGGAGATATCCTTAATTTGAAACAAAGCACTAATAAAAAATGATAAAGAGTTTCTAAAATTCCAATATATATTTTGATAGCACAAGATTCAATGCAATTCTTGGCACAAGAAGTTGCTTTCACAAACTTAATATAGATTTTTAACATTTATAAATGTGTTAATTAAAGTGAAAATATTTGGACACAATTTTAAGTTCATAAATAAAAGTTATGCTTAAGTCAAATAAATACAGAATAAGGCAAAGTTTAATGGCTTTAGATAAGGCATGCCCTTATAATTATTTTTATGAAACATGCAGATTTTAATGGTCTAACATGTCGAATTAATTCTAATTTGACAAAAGTTCTGAAATTGTATAGCTTTGAGGGCAGTGAATACAGAACACCATGAGTATAAACAATTTTTATTTGCAGTAATTATGAAATATTGCGTATTTCCTTATTTCTAAGGATAAGTGAAAAATAGTTTTAATTTTCTATTTTTACTGCAAGTAGTTTTTGAGATCATTTCATTTCAATTTATTGAAATAAAAAATTGGCATAATTATTTCAATGCAATAAAAGCAAATATAAATTGTAGGACGCTAAGTTTTCCTGTTCAAGTTTAACATGGCTTCTGCCACTCTAATGACTATCATGTGCAGTTGTGAGAGTGGCAGCAAATGTGTTTAAAGTACTGCAGTTTCTGGAATATAATGGCAGCAGAAAAACCAACAACAAATTTTAAGAAGTTTTAAAAATCACCTACATACCTATCTTTAACTATATAATAACCACCTATCTAATCTACAGGGTATCTTCTACATTTTAGATTTTCAAATCTATGACTTTTCATGAATAATTCCAATAATTTTTTATGACTTACTGAAGTTACTCTTTTCTCCACAAAAACAACAATAAATTTAAAGAATTATTATAATAACATTAATTAAAATGATAGGTATAACTAAAATTGTTATACTCTGCATCTTCATATTTATTGATTTCAAAATTAAAAAACAGAGTAGCGAAAGAGTTGAAGCAATAAAATAGTGAGAGAAAAAATAAAAGCAAATACCAAAATACTGTCAGATATATGAAGTTATTTAAAGCTGCTTTATTACTTCTTTAAAGTAAGTGCAACATAAAACACCTAAACTAGAATTTTAAATTGATAAAATAAAAAAATAAATAATAAATAAAAAAATTCTGAAATCACAGTAGTTTAAAAGATAATTCGCTGTAGAAATGATGTTCATCCTTTTATTTTTTGAAAGAATACCATAATATTTAAAGAACAGGATAAGAGCATTTTATATTCTAATAGAATATGACTATGAGGGGAGATTTTGCTACAAATTTAGATATTTGGAATATCAAAACTGTGAAAGGGAGGGGCAAATTCCATTTCAAAAATTTGATTTTTCGGTGAACTAAACCCATGACTTTCCATAATTTTTTTAAAATATGGATTTAAAATCATGACATTTCATGACAAATTTCGTTCAATACCGAAATCCATGACTTTCCAGGTGCGCAGATACGCTGAATCTACCTATGATTCAGTGATATTATAATAATGAATAAATGGAAAATTTCAATAATTCTTTAAAAATGGTGAAAGAAAGTGAATTGAAATATAATTAATAACTAATTAAAAATGAAATGTTTAAATAATATAAGTATTATTGAATAGATTTACAGGGATGATATCGGAAGGAAAAGAAAAAAAAGCTGAAATTCTACTAAAGACATATACGAAAAGCCATATACATAACAAAAACAAATATATATACAGTCAGACTTCTATTTAACGAACTTCCATTTTGCAAATTTTTCTAGTTTGCGAAGTTTTTCGAAGAATCAAGAACATTTTGGAAATTTCTTTGTAAAATAACTTCAAAATAGCAAAATGAATTTTCCATTTAACGATTTTTTTTTTAGATCCACTTTCCCTATTTCCCAAAATATTTCAGATAATTTCCTGTTAGTGCATTTTATGGGGGAAATGACATTGAACTGATTTTCGAAGTCACTTAATTTTTAGAGAAAGCAGTAAAATCCATTTCCCTTTTTGTTAGCATTTCAAACGAAAAACTCAGACAAAATTAACGGATTTTATCAGTAGCAATTAAATTTAGAACGCAAGAAGTAATGTATGTTTAAAATTACTTTCATGATATATGCAGCTATAATTTTATACATACATTTAGCTTTTTTTAGTTGAAAATGTATGTAGCATGATAGTGTTAACTGGACACGTTTTGCTCTATTCTTGCTTTCTATGCAGATTTCTTTTATTGTTAAGATTTATAAATAAATAGTAGATACTAGTATACAAGATAAAGGTGTGGCAATTGCTATTTTAATTATATCTAATGTTAATGAATTTAAAACCTGCTTTGTGTTGTTAAAGTATTTCAAAAATTGATTTTCTGTTTAATGAATTTTTCATATAATGAACTTATTTTTGGGATTTAGCAACTTTGTTAGAGGTCCGACTGTGATTTCAAAAATTATATTATAATAAAAATTATATCTCAATGAAAATTATATCTTAAATATCTTCTCTTACAAGCAACAATTGGTTTATTTCTGACCTTGAGGAAGGAGCGATTAAGAAATAAACACAGCCAAGTTTGAACTTTTGTAGCCTTGGTTTATATATGAAGGGAACATTTTTGGTGCTAATTGCTTGTTTACATTTTAGTGAAACTGAAAAATATATCCATCATAATAAATTTTAAAATACCAAAATATGATTCTATTGGCATCATCTATTTATAACAAAAACAGCTACAATGAATTTAGTATCCATTAAAAATTTCCAGACTGTTATCTGCATCGGTAAAATTAATCATTTCTTTCAACAGATGATTTGAGGAAAATTTACAAGAAATTATGTCAGTAAAAAACTTTAAAATATATCCAAAAAAATTTATTGCAACATGCATTAATTATTATTTATAAATGGTAGTAATAATGAAAGTTAAGTTAAGCAAAGAAAAGCTTTGCGATTATTAAATAACATAAGATATCAGTCTTATGGAAATTAAAACTTTCTTTGGAATAAAAAAGATATTTTTGTCTGAAATGGAAACCAAAATAAATACAAAAATGTCACAAAAACATACTTACTTCAGGAATCAACTTTAAAAAAGCATAGCTAGATTTTCTACTAATCTAAAAATTAAAAATAAATCTAAATTAAATAAAATTCATTACAAATATAACACACTATTAAGAGGCAGTTTCTTTTAAACTCAGAGTTGCATACTAGACACAGGGATGAGATTGGTCAAAAGGTAAAAAAGCTGAATTTTACACATACACATATTCTAATCCAGTTTCGCTGATGTTGTAATGTCTATGTATACCAACAATCGTCGATAGAAAAACTGTCACCTTTACAGCAACTAATTCAAGAAAAAAAACTTACTTCTTACACGAATCACGATAAAGGATTTTGAAAATTACTGGAATACAAATAGCGATCTCGGATTTTAAAATCACGTGAATCTGAATCACGATATTGAATTTTGAAATCGAATGAATATGAAACTCGATATTGGATTTCAAAAATTTAAAAATACAAATCATGATGCGTAATTTTCAGATAGCTTAAATACAAATCACGATGCATAATTTCTAAATCGCGTGAATACAAATAGCTACATAGATTTTAAAAACGAGTAAATACAGATCTCAATATTGGATTTTTAATAAGAATTGCAATGTATGTTATTGAAATCGCGTGAATAAGAATCATAAGGCTCAACTTTTAAATCAGGTTAATACGAAAATCGATGTTTGATATTAAAATACGAGCTATCTAGTGGACTGGTAAAAATGCAAAAAATCTTATTGTCCGCGCAGAAAATTGCTAAAATAAGCAAAAATGCAAAAAGGGTTGGCAGCTACGTAATGTGAATTTTCTGTTTATCTTTGAAAATCAGAAATAATCATTTTAATTCAACGGCTAAATCTTCATAAAAAAACAAAATATTTATATAAAAAAATTTTTTTCAAAAAACGAAAATTTTAGAGAATCGGAGTTTTTGATAAAAAGGCTGAAATTCGAGAGACAAAAGCGAAAAAAGCGGAAATCCGCTAAAAAGCTGAAAAATCTCATTCCTGTAGACATTTTTGAATATTCTGAACTATTTGATTAACTGCTGTTGATTAATTTTAACTGTTGTTTCATTTTTTTTAAACATTTATTTTGGAAGTTTAATTTAGGTGAGGAGTCAGAAGAGTTGATTCCCTAGAATTTTAGAAAATTTAATAAACTTACATGTGACTATACTTTTTGTGAAATGAGTATACAACATCACCAAAAATTATTTTTTACTTTTCTACTTCCTCACAAACTATTAAAACATAAATGCTTGCAATTGACCTTTGTCTCAAATTTTTAAGATCATTTAAAAACATTTAAAATTCCAATTGACCATTAAAATCTACTTTTACCGGCCGCTAATGCTGCAGTATTTTCTAATTTTCAACTTTTATTTATAATTTATTATGATGTAATTTGTTGCTTTCTAGAAATTTATGTTAACATGCAAAAGTATCTTTCCAGGTCAAGTTTTTCAATAGCTGTTTACCTTGGAATATTTGATGGAGAGAGGAACTAATGATAGTTTAATTGAGGCTGTAATGTATTAGAGAAAAAAACCTTCAATGCATAAAGAAAGTAGCTTTTATTCCAACAACAGTGAAACCAAATATTTTTTACTTATATTCAGCATTCATTCGGGCAAAAATTTAAATTTGTTTAAAAAGTTGACAATTTAATTAAAATAGGTCAAGTAAGCAAGCATATAAGCTTGCACAATAGGTCAAGTAAGCATATTTGAAACAAATGTATCACATCAGTACTCATTTATGGAAAATTTACTTATCTACATTTTTTGTATCGATTAACACTTTCTCAATACAGAGCCCTGTTTGTGAGATATCTTGAAAATAACTTATTTCAGGTCAAGTTTTTTGACCTAGCAGCCAACACTTACCTCCCCAGAGGTAGAAAACTTAAAATTATTGTATTGAGACATTATCAAAGCAGTTCAAAGAAGAAGAAAAATCTTTGCCATCAATTGTTTATAAATTGAAACTCTTCACAACTAGCCCACTTATTACAATGAGAATAAAATTACATTTTTTATAGCCTTGATCATAATTAGTGAAGCATGTGTTCCTAGGTGAAAAATAATTTATTTCTCAACAGGAGCATTCTATTTATAATGGTATCGTTGATTTTATAGGGTAATATATTTTTATTAAGAAGTTTTATATGTAACATATATATTTAATACAAAATGAAAGAAATGTTGATCATAAAAAAAAAACTAATGAGATTCGTGGGACACAGAAAAAAGCATTAATTGAATGACCTTAGTTTTTTTATGTATCATTTATAATTCTTTTGAAACATGAATTGTTACTTGATACAGTGGTACTAGATCAGTATTTTTCAGGCCTAGGATTTATCTTACTGTTCGGTAAATGGCAAAAGGCAGTAAGAGATCTTTGTTATTTAGGAGTATTAGAATTATTTGATATTTAGGAGTAATGGTAACTCTTTGAAAACAGAAGTTTATCCGGAGGGTCAGATTTGACTATGAATTCTATGGGTTTGGTGAAATTATGGACGAAAAATAACAATTCCTTTTTAACTCACAGATTAGCTTGTGCTTATGGATTACTCAAAGAAAAAAAATTCATGGGATTGAATAAGAGAGTTAAATATATATTTATATTAAAAAAAGGAGCTAATACAAAAAAATATAAACTTAGTTTATAAATAAATAGTGACATTCTGCACTGAAAAGTTATAGATATGAAAAATATTGAAAATTAAATAATTAACTAATTTGATTTTAAGAATTTTACTTAGGTTCAAGAGCTTATAATAACATTTAACAGTATTAAGTTTTTTTCTAATAAATATAATATATAATTAAATAGTTACCCAAATTTTGTCATGCTGCTGATTGACAAGCCAACTTAGAAATTCTTGAATTAACTGATAGGGCCTTATTTCTATTCGAATTTTATCAAAAGAACCTTCTTGAAAATGACGTTTAACCTGCGCAGTAATCTTGCAGTCATCTATAAAAAGACTAAAAAGGAAATTGCTTTTTATATAAAAATATTAGAAGCAAGCAAAAACATTTAATGGGAACAAAAAAACGTTCCTAACTTCTTTAATTTTAATGATTGCAACTTGAAATTAGGGAGGTAATGCCATTTTATGACCAAATAGGAAAAACAGTTTATGTTTATGATAGCTGACTCTGTGAAAAATCAAATTTAAAGGTTTGAGACTTTTCAGGAGCTAGCATACGATTGAAATAGTAAAAATAAAATTATACATGAATATCACAAACATTTATTTAAATCCCCCAAAATATTTCAAAACAAAAATTAAAATTTTTGATGTTAAGAAAAAATAAATTTGAAAATCAGGTTAGACAAGTTTCCTTCTCAATCTCTCTCCAATCCCAAGTAGAACACCCATCCTCTTATTTACAATGCTTTTTTTTTGTTCACTTGTCTAAAAGTGGACAGGAGCTGTATTTTCTCAGCATGGTCATCTTCAAAGTGTAATAACTCACAAGAAACTGATTTTCCATGTTAATAATTTATCAAAACTTAGTTATCTTTAAAATGTAATAGATGGTGATACAATCATCATTATTGTGAAAAATGAACATAAACCATTCTTTCTCCTTGGTCTTTATTTGAAATGGTCCACTAAAGCTTTTTGAAAAACCAAAATTACATTATATTTTTTTTTTATCTAAGTTTGAACAATATTTTGATTAAATAAGATGTTAGATTTTTACAGCAACAACAATGGTATTAAAGTTATTTATTGATCTGGTGTCTATGTAACTTACATTCATCAAAATGATACGATTTAAATTCAGGGTGTGTATCCAGATTTTTCAACAAAACATAAGCAAGCACTTTTCAAGCACTCAAAAATATTTTCAATTACTTTCCAAAAAAAAAAAAAAAAAATAGGATCTGTGCAGTAATAAAAACTATTTTTTCTATTGTTTAAAGTTCTTAATTCATAAACATAAAATCAACAAAATTCAATAACATTTTCACAGCAAACTTTACATAATCATGATAAAATAACTAGTTCTTGATGAATATTGCAGAGATAATTGTGAAAATTATGCAGTTTTTGTAATTAAGAATGACAATCGATAAGGCAGAGAAAAAAATCTTTCTTTTTTTTAAAAGATAAAAAATTGAGCACTTTCTACAAACTGCGAATAAAAAAAGCACTTTAAAGGGCTTTTAAGAAATGCAAATCAAAAATAAGCACATTTTAAAAATGCTACGCACCCTGAAATTGCTTTTAACACTACACAGAAATTTACAAATTCAACATCTTAATTTTCATACTGTTTTTAAATTACATATTGTGATTGATACTCACGCGATTCCAACGCAAAAGATGCATAGTCATATGAATAGAGTACAGTGTAACGTCCCATATCCGGACGTCCCTTTTCCGGAAGGGTCGATTTCCCGGACACTTTTTAACAATCAAAATAAACAAACATTTCTTCATCTTCCCTACTCCTTAAAAAATTTAAAAAAACGAAGTCTTTTGACAGGTTTTTCCCCTTCTCAGCTTCTAGAGATCTATGCATTGAACCCATAAATCAACAGAAAAGAGAACAGAAGATCTACTAAGATGATGACGCTCCTCCTCTGGAATGCAGGAAGGGGGGGGAGATTTGTTTTCAAAAGAGCACAACTGAGTCCACTCCCTCCCCCTTCTTTCCTCTGCAGCTGGCTAGTAAAAGAGGCATTTCCTGGAACCTTTTTATTTGAGTGTCAGGGGAAGAAGAAATACTGTGAAAAAGGGTAAACACAGCAAATGTTAAAGTGGAGGGAGAATCCCCTTTAGTCACACAAGAAAAAATAAAGAGAACCCAATCAGCATGCCACGCCTTTATGCTTGATTGATAGCCAATGATGGGAGAGAAAATAAGAATTTGTCACAATCCCGCCCTCAACTTGAATGACAAGTAAGGAGGAAATGAATTTTTCTTCTCCACCTACCCACCTTAATGAATGACGGGAATTTCTCCTTCTTGCTTGAATCGTTCTAGTTCAAAATGGCGGAGAGAGCAATTAATATTTTCATAACTGAATTTTTTTTCGTTTTCTATATTTATTTTTAAAATAGCAATAATTATTTTTTTTCTAATATTTTGTTTATGATTGATTAGATATCATTCTAATACTAAAACATTATTGCCCAAAAAATAATGTTTATTTATTTCCTGCTTCTTAGATTCAGATCATTTTAAGCCTTGTTTACCTTGGAGGTCAATTATACGGAAAAATCAAATATACGGACTTCGGGCAGTCCCGCCGATTCCGGATACGCGACTTTCCACTGTATAACACATTAATATTTATGTTCATGAAATTTTCGTATTAAGCACCTGAATTTGTCATAGAGTTCTGCCTAAATTCTGCTCCTTGATTACTACAAATGCACCTAACTTGCCCATTCAGTAAAAATAAATCACCATCCTTTAGAAACACTGTCTTTTTTTTTTCTTCAGGAAAATGTTATTTTCTTAACTATCTGTTTTCATGGTAAGTCTAAAGAAAAACCCTCCTCTTTCACAACACATGAAGCCTGATCTGAGGCGGCCATAATAGATTCGTTTAAAAATCTTGTGTACAAAAAGCAATCCCCTCTACTTCCAGGAAAAGCAGAATTTATGCACGGTTTCAAACATCTGCTTACTCTCTTCTGAATACCTTTGCCTTCTTCATAGAGGAAAACATGGGAGGGGGGGACTATTTCACTCTATGCACATGCATTATACAATCATTTTATGATAGAAGTTTTTGCTTTTACTGTTCTAAATTTGACTCTCATTTCAAAGATGTTAATTTTCTAGATTTGTATTTTTTTTTAATTTTTAAGACCAAAATAATAAGGAAAAAAAATGTGGAAGAAAACCTAATCATAAAGAAGAATTTAAAAAAGGCAGCTTAAGCTGTAATTAAGTTGAGAGCTTTATAACTAAAAGCAAGGTAAGTGATTAATACAGAACATGTATATTTTAGCTTCTATTATAAGGAGAATTACTTATATTTTTAAAAGAAAATTTAAGTTCTTTGTTTACACTTTTCATTTTTATTCACTATATTCAATACGAAATTAAATACATTTTATTAACTAAGCACATTGTAACTTAACATAAATGTTTAGTTTTCTTCTGAGAATATATTTGTCAGCAATTTCAAAAAGCTAAAGGTATTTAAGATTTGTTCTGCTTTATATGCATTGTTTATTTCATTGTTTATCTCACTTAACAGCTATAGCTCTTGAAAAATTTATTTATTTTTTTCAAGAATATGTTTCAAAACTTTTTTCTTTCTGAGAGCTAGTTTCAAAATTAATAGTCAATTCGATGTTTTTTTTATATTAATTTTTTTCATTACACTTTTCACAATTTGGAATGTCTCGATGTTATACATCATTCTTACTGCTGATGTCTTCATCTTCTCTAGTTTCTTCATGAACCAAATGATCTTCACTCTTATCCATAGTGTTACTGGTGCAGCATTTTTTTTAAAGATCTTCTATTTATAACATCGGAAGAAATATGCATGCTTCATTTACCCACCTTGCAACTGTTACTAGATCTACTTTTCATAAGTTTATGTTTTTCGAAATACAACAAAATCTTTCGACTTTATCTGAGCAAATTTGTATTGCTTAGTTGAAGTCATTCATGGTGGCCACTCAAATCAGGTTTCAAATTTCCCTGATTTTTCCAGGTTTTCCAGTATAAATCTTAAGATTTCCAGGTCAGCATGTTTTTTTTCGGGCTAAAGTGTAGTATAGGTACAAGAAAAGTGCCAATATTAGTGTATTAGTCAATATAATAGTGTAGTATTTCATTTAAAATTTTATTTTTTTAAGATATCATCTTGAATAGATGTGGAGGAAACAATATGTTTAGCTTGCAGAAAATAACGCTTTTAATAAATAAAAATTTTCTGTAAGTGCTAAATAGCATTTGCACAAAACGTACCAAATAGCAATAACCCAAAACAACCTTGGATAAGTACTGTTTAATATATTTTCATTAATCAAAAGAAAATAATTCCAGGTGATTAGAAACCAATAAATTTTTATATTTATTTACACTTCAATATACAGTGTAATGTCCCATATCCGGACGTCCCTTTTGGGAAGGGTCGATTTCCCGGACACTTTTTAACAATCAAAATAAACAAACATCTCTCCATCTTCCCCTTTCCTAAAAAAAAAAAGAAAAAAAGAAGAAGATCTTTTGACACATTTTCTCTTTTTTCTAGCTTGCACTGAACCTCTGATTCATGCATCAAACCCATAAATCACCAGAAAGGGGAAGTGAAGATCTACCAAGACCATTGAGTGACCGTTAGTGACGCTCCTCCCTTGGAATGTAGGAAAAAGAGGGAGATTTGTTTTCAAAAGACCGCAACTGAGTCCCCTCCCCCCTTCCTTTCCCATGCAGGTGGCTAGTAAAAGAGGCATTTCCTGGAACCTTTTTATTGAAAGAAGAAATACTGTGGAAAAGGGTAAACGGGGCAAGCGTTAAGGTGGAGGGGGAGTCAAAATGGAAAATTTGAATAGGTCTAAAAGGATACACGTCCTTGAGAAACAAAACATTCGTTCTTCCCCATACCATGTAATATTTAGGAGGCGGGGGGAAAAGGGGGTAACATTCTTTCTTTAGCAGATTCTTTCAGTCATAGAAGAAAAAATAAAGAGAACCCGATCAGCGTGCCCCGCCTTTATGCTTGATTGATAGCCAATGATTGGAGAGAAAACAATAATTTGTTACTTCCCCACCCTCAACTTAAATGATCTCCTCTTTACACTTATTTTCTTTCACAAATAAGGAGGAAATGAATTTTTCTCCTCCACCTACCCACCTTAATGAATGACGGGAATTTCCCTTTCTTGCTTGAATCATTCTAGTTAAAAATGGCGGATTATTATTTTCATATGTCAATTTTTTTTCGTTTTCTATATTTTAAGCAATAATATTTTTTTTCTAATATTTCATATTTTATTGATTAGATATTCTAATACTAAAACATTATTCCCCTTAAAAATAATGTTTATTTATTTTTTGCTTCTTAGATTTAGATCATTTTAAGCTTTGTTCCAGAATGACATGAATTTCCCCTTCCTGCTTGAATCGTTCTAGTTCAAAATGGCGGATTAATATTTTCATAACTGTTAAATTTTTTTCGTTTTCCATATTTTCAGCAATAATATTTTTTTTCTAATATTTTATATTTGATTGATTAGATATTTTAATGCTAAAACATTATTCCCCTTAAAAATAGTGTTTATTTATTTTTTGCTTCTTAGATTCAGATCATTTATTAATTCATTTTAAGCTTTGTTTACCTTGGGGGTGTATTATACGGAAAAATCCATTATACGGACTTCTGGAAGTCCCTCCGATTCCGGATACGCGACTTTACACTGTAGAGTCATTTTATACTGTATTTTATCCAAACAGTGCTCTTTATAAAATTTATTGAAATTACCTTTCACTTTTCCTTAAATTCTTTCTTTAAACCATAAACATAAGTCAAATGTTTAAATAATGTTGTTTGTTTCAAATTAGCACTATTATAAGATATATTCAGTATTTGTAAACGAAAAATTGACAATTTCTTGTTGCATATTCTATAGGAAGAAAAAAAAACTAGATATAATTCTTTAAATTTTATTCCTTTTTTTACTTTCTTAATGGAAATTAGAATATATTAAGAATTCCAATCTAACATGGTTTCCTAGTTTAGACGAGTCAATTGGTTTTGTTTTTATATCTGGGCAATTTCATGGTGTCGGAAAAAAAATTAATATTAACTTCTTAGAAAAACTATCTTATAAAACAAAAGTTTAGAATCATCGAATTTTTACATTAAATATTTAGTATATCATAACCTAACGAAAAACAAATTGTTTCATAAAAACTGATTATTATAAGTTCGTTCAAATTAAATGGATTAAATTGTTGCTGTCGGATGTAAATCGCGTGAAAGCAAAAAATTATTATTAATTTACAAATTGTCTAAACTCCATGAATTTGTTTGTAATTTAAATGTAAATTTGACTGAATTTTGAAGCTGACATTTGAATAAAAAATTCTATGCAGTTGTTTGTGAAATATGATACATAATTAACTTGAAATTTTTTACTTCAGTATCAGATGGAAATTTCTCAAATTGGATAGAAATTTAAGTTAATGATAACCTTCTATAATAACAGAAAATTACTTTAATTTTAATCTTAATGTTATAAATATTATATTTTAATTAAATAACTTCTTTAAATTTAAATTGTCTTCTATTTCCTGTTGGAATAGTCACAATTACTTTAAAATGTTCTACGTGAAATTAAATTGTTAATAAAAAAGATTACAACTGAGATGCCTACCTCAAATAAATAAAATTAAACTAAAATAATATATTAAAACTTCATTGATCAATTTCAAGTTACAACGTAATTAACTTCAAGTACAGAATAGTTTCAAAAATTTTATTAGGTTATACATTATTGTAAATTAACCTTAAGGAAAAATTATAGCGTTTCTCTTTATATTTTGTTTCATTGCATAAAGAAAAGGTGAAATAAGAGGTGAAAATAAATAAAAACAAATGTAATGAAAAGAAAAGCAGTGGTGTCTGACTGTGTGGTGTGTAAAAATAATTAATTATTAATTAAAAATAAAAATATTTATTATTATCAAAATCTTGCTTTAAACAGAAAAAGTAATTTGATTATATTAAATCCTAGTGTTACAGTACAATTAATTATGTATTTTGGAGTCGCACGTAAGACATCAAAAGTGTATCGTGAGAATTTTTTTTTTTAAATCAAAATGAGAAATGTTTCTACATATTTGTGCAAGATAAACTGTTTTGTTATAGTTTACTTTAATTATTATTCTTTCCATTTTCTATTATTAGTATGAATTTTTTTTTAAAAAAAAAACTGCACTTTGTTAATGATTCCCTTACCACGGTTGAAAATTTTAAATGATGTTGCCCTTCATTTAACAGCCTATGACTTATTGAAAACTGATATTTATAAGTTAAAAATAATTATTTCTAAATCTTAAATTTTTTACCTGGGAAATGATACCTTGTTTACGTAATATTGAGTTCAAAATTTGGTTCATGTGGTTGCCCAATTTGAAACCTGTCCCTGTACAGTGTAGAACAAAAAGAAAACTAAGTTTTGTTTTCCTTCTTTCTAATAAACAAATATAAATAAATTTTCTTTTCCATTCTAAATTGATATATCATTTAACATGTTTTCCATACATTCCTTGGTTTTTGTCAGCTTTTTAATGTAAAAAGAGAAACAATTTCGGAAATATCAAAATAAAAGTAATCATGAAATTCAAAAAATCAGCATTAATACAATTGTAACAATATTGCTATTAGCGATTGGTTGGCTTTGCTGAGAAAAATAATTCACTGGAAAAAACCTTTAAGAAAAAGAGTGCAAGATAAAATCTCTAATTAAATTATAACCAATTATTTTTTGGAGAATTTTATTAAGTTAAAAATACTAAAATATTTTGAATAATTTTATTAAAAGAAACAAATACCCCCGAATCATTGGAACAAACTTGAACAATTAATGAATTCAGCCCGCAGACTAAAAGATTGAAAAAAAAAAGATTAAGAAAAATTTAAAAAACGTTACTTTTATAAACAGAAGCAAGTATCTTAATCCTTTCTTCCACATTTTTGCCTTTCTTAAACTGCCTAGTCCCATATTCTCCAAAGAGGTCAAAGCTTTCTCCATTCATTTCCCAACATAAAAGAGTTTGATATGGCATTCTAGTTTAGCAAGGTAATAATGAAGAGACTTTTAATGGAAGAAAAGTATTGCTGGGTTGATGATATTTCAATTTTGTTGCGATAAATTTACGTCCAAATAAAAATGGATATAACGGATGGTAAAATAATTTAAATTAAGAGAAAAATTCCAGCTTTTCTTTGAAATTCTCTGATTTTTCCAGGTTTTTATCCAAATTTTTCTGACTTTTACAGGTTTTTTCCAGTATAAAAAAATTCTCTGATAATTCCAGGTTTTTCAGGTGGGTGGCCACCCTGTCTTTGCTCTGAAGTGAATGACAGTATGAATTGTAATCAACTTGCCTGATTGAGATTCTTGAAGCCATGATAATAGTGTTCTTTTTTTAACTCTGGAAACTTAGATCCACTGACTAGCAACTCTCTTTTTCATTTGGGAATTCGCCCTAAGTTGGTTTTTCTTTTTTCCCCATTGCCAAACTTGTTTCTAATTTAAAAGTAATCACTCTGATGCGAATGGCAGTATGGACTTATAATCAAGATTCTCAATTGAGCTTTTTTGAAGCATTGATGACAGTGTTTTTTCTAACTTTGAGAATTTAAAACCACTGACTCATAACGCTCTTTTTGATTTGCGAATTAGCCATATGTTATCTTTTCCCACTATAACCAAACCTGCTTATAATTTACAAAAAAAAAATAATAATAATAATACCAAGCAGCCATGCAATTAGAATTTTCTAAAAAAGCAATCAATTCCAGTTTTAAACTCACTGTGTATGATTTTCCTTTCCCGCTCATTTTTCTTTATCAAGAGCAGCAAACACAAATAATCAGAAAAATCCCACTAGGTTTCTTACTCAATTTAAGAAGAAAAATTTTTTTGACTTTTCAGGATATATTGCAAGGAAAATCCATACCATATTTTGTCTATATCATGCAATTTTTCATCAGAAAATTGATTTTTTTTGTTTGTAATGCCAAATATTGGATTTTGTGAGCAAAAACGAGAATAGAAATAAGGAAAAACTTCACTAAAAAAGTGGAATTTTATAAAATAGTTGTTACTGATAATTCTAAAACTGGTTTTTTTCCAGGTATGATATAGGAATTTTCCAGGTTTTTTTTAAAAAATTGCAACTTAACTCTGGCAGTTCCAGGCTTTCCCTGACCCGTGGAAGCCCTGTACTACATGAAATAGAGATAGCTATCATCATAATGCTATATTTTGGCCCACTTGAACTGCAGCTAATGGTAAGTGAAAAGTCTTGAGTAAGAGAGAATTAATGGTATGAGGTCAATTCAGACATCTCAGCTGAAATGATTGTGGAAAAGAGAGGATGTATATTTTTATTTCTAAGCATAATACGCCTTATTATTTTTTTTACTTTGACTTATACATAGATGGGCGCAGAATTAAAAAATATATGGTAATAAATTCAGTAAATGAAGTTTTTATATACATTGGTTTCTATTTTCAGATTATGCAATTTTCACAGATTATGCTGAATGACTGGTTTGAAAGATGTTTAATGAAATGGGAAATTTACATTTTTCAAATTATGTCTTATAGTTGAACCATTCTTAAAATGTAAAAAAAAAATAATTTTTAAATATTTCTTTAAATAAACTCTCTTTCATGAATATTATGATAACTAATGAGTATACCAAAAAGATAGAAGACAGAAGGAAAACGATACAGTACTTACTAAACTGTTTCTAAAGTAACAACACCAAAAGCAAGAAAAAGAGGATTAAATTCAAAATCACTTCCACGCAAATTGAAAAGCCCTGAAACATAAGAACCAATATATTTTTGATATTCGAATAAAATAACATTAATATCAAACCTTAATACAAAGTTGTATCATAAGTAGTTGGCAAGTTTTTATAGTTGTTAAGTTTGTATAAGTATATGGTTATTTGTATCATTTTAAAGAATATAATTTTAAATGGCAAAATACAAAATTTGAGCAAAATTGATAGAGTTATTCCTGAGAAATATCTGACTTTTTAGAACTTCAATTTCTCAGCAACTATTCGACCGATTTTGCTCTAATTTTGCATTTTGCCATGTAAAATTACACTCTTTAAAATGATACAAAAATTGTACACTTCACAATTCAACATTTTCTGACTATTATTAAATAAATTAATAAAAAATATTAAATATTTATTAAAAAAATTTCTTTGGATAAATGAAATTTTATAATTGAGTGCAAAATTTTTTTAATTAATTAAAAAAGTTTTTGAGATGTGGTGAAATACACAAAAAGTAGAATTAACATTAAGGGGTTCAAACTTTGGAGTGCCCTCCTGATCAAACTATGGGGATCACATCACCCAGATTGTAGCTACACCCTATATTTTGAGAGTCAAAAATCCAAGTCTGTCGAAAAAAGGTATGCCTGTTCATAGAAAGTATGTTTTTGTGTCTGATTTTGTAACTGAAAATATCATCTGCACTTATGCACCCCTTTGAGACATTAAGAATTAGTCCTAGAAGATGAAGATCCGATCATTAGATTCGGGGTGGTCCGTTTTTTTTTTGTGCACAGTACATATCTACATTCTTGGTATTTTTTTAAAGACAATAAATGTACAGATTTATTGATACTAAAATAAAAATAATAAGATAGATTATATTAGCAATGTAGAAAAAAGTGAAAGGAAAAAAGTATTTTGAATTCACAAACAATTAACTGCTTCATTCGTGAAAAATTTGATTAGAAATATATGATCTTTTTAACACACTTGCATCCATATAACACAGTCAACTATAAATATCACAACTCCTGTTACCAAAATGCAAACACGCAACTTACTATGTTAAGTCACAATATTGTGAATGCAGAAAAATTATTAACTGATACGAGAATGTTGCAATACAAATTAAAATGTTGAAACAGTAAAAGGCTTTTCTAAAAATTTTCATACTTACAAAATATTTTATGTACCTTCATTCAATTAAATTTAGAAAAGAAACAATTGAATCATCTACAAATTTCACATAATTCGAAAACATTTTTTTTCATTGTAAAAAGAAAATTATTAAATATTTATTAATCAAAATATCACTTGTTTTGCATATTTATTAATATTAATTGACGGATTTACTAAAATCTCCAGTTTTGAAAAGGAATGCAATTTTGTTTCGAAACCTAAGTTCCTGAACTTCATTTAGATTTGAATCATACTACTTTTTACTTTCTTTGTTGTGAATCATACTTAAAAATAAACAAAAATGCATACAAACATACAGGCAACTTCGTCTAGTGCTGTGACAATGAGAGCAGTAGCTCCTTTGTGTTTCATGAGAAGCCGTACATCAAATACTTTTTCTTGCCAAGACCTTCCTACAAAGAAAATAAAAATATCTTATACAGTATAAAAAACAATTTAAATGAAACAAACAAAGATAAATGGGATCTTTCCAACAGATCTTAAGTTCTGACGGCAATAAAATTTAATTCACCTAATATGACCGATTAGTATCATGTCCTCATTCAAAACACACATTTACTCCAAGCAACCAACATTATTAATTCACTACAATCTGTAAAATTTATAATAAAACTGCAACAATCTTTAAAATTTGAATGACATTTTTACTAATTGCCCTTATTTTAAAGAAAAAAAAGGTCTTGCTTCCATATAACATAGTTTCCCTAACTTTTTAGAGATTACTAAAAAGACCATTAAAAAACTAAAATTGAGAATGCAAAAGAAAAAGAAAACAACTAATATAATATTACCTGTATAAACAAGAGACATAGGCTCAATTATACTTGAAGGGGGATCTGGTCGATCATCCCAGATTAAATCAACCAGATTTTGAGAGACTGCATGTAATGAATGTCCTGATAATTCTAGCTTGGAAGACAGATCAATCCAATCCTCTAATGAAATAAAGCAAAGCAAGGAAAACATGTTTTGTTATATGATACATAACCATGCTATTACAACCATAAACATTCTATGATACTTAACCAAAAAAATTTTTTTTAATCAGAATCTAATATGCATTAAAAAAGTTTATAAAATTTGTGAAAAAAAGATTTTATTTTTCATTCATAAAAATTAAGGAAACTATACAAGTAAATCTTAACTTGATCAAACATAGCCTGTATCAACTAAACTATTAAAAAACTGCAAAACAAATATTTTGTTTTCTACTTTTATTTAAAACATTGGTTATAGTTGATTTACTGTATTAGGAAATCCAAAGCCATTTCTACATTTTATTTATGATGTATTGTTTATTTTATACTACATTTTACTTATAACAATTACTTTAATATTGGTTTATGTTCCAAGATTATGACCACTTTATTATTTTGGAGGATAAAAACATATCAGATCCTCATAATCAGAGTTTTAAAAAATCCCCCCCTCCACCAAAAAAACTGGCTTTTGGTTTAAACCAGATTTTTTTGGTTTTTATAAAACAATATGTCAAATAATATTTTAACCCCTTAATTTAAATTAATCAAACCATTCCAAAGTAATTTAGAGCAATTCATTTTCAATAATCATGAATGCAGCTGTCTTTTTTTCCTGATGGCTACATTTTATTAAACAAATTATACTAAATTCAAACATATTGCTTATTTTGGGAAAAGCTTCACTTAAACTTTTGCAAAGCAAATAAAATTGTACATGTATTGTAATTGTACTTGTAATAATCGTTAATTTAGTAATCATAAGAGTTTTGATAGTTTTTGAGTTAAGTTTTGAAATTTGCATTACAAGAATACTAAATTATGAACCATAAAATATGGAAAAGAATAGCCCCTTATAAAAGAAAGTTGAATTTTCGAGTAAAAATATGGAATATTGCTTAATACCTTTTCAACTGGTAAAAATAAAATTTTTTTGCTTTTTAGAATATTTCTTTGGTTCTTTCTGAGTTCAAATTACATAAAGTTAACTGAATTGTCTGTAGAGATTATAGTTGAATGAATAATACAGAGATAAAACTTTATGCAGGGCTCAGCACAACTTAATGCAGAAAAAGTAGTGAAAAAAGTGACTAAAATTTTTAAAAAAGTTACATATAGCGACTACATTAAAAACAATATAAACATCCTGCAACATCTTAGTACCCTTAATATAACATAAAAAATTGAGCTAGATCAAGTATAACTGTTAAAAAACAATAATAATTATTATCAATTATAATGAAAATAAAAATCCATTCATTACATTACTTAACAGCTATTGAAATTTTTTGTAAAAATGTTCTCAATAAATATTCACAAAATTTTTATAGCTAAAAAAAATTACAGGCTTAACTTAAATTAAGATAACTTTTATTTTTAAACATAACAAAGATAAAATCAATATTAGTAATTAAGTCCTGAATTTTCATGAATTGATGTCATTAATGAAATCAGTTATTCTAAGTAAGGAAATGTATCCATTATTTTGAGTTAGCCTTAAAATAACTCTCTATCAGAGCGTACTTCTTTTCTAGAGTTTTTTTGAATGGCATCTCCTCTTTTTCTTTCCTCATCTTCTTCCTTCCTTACTTTAGCAACACCTTGCAGCATTGCTTTTGCTAATTTAAATTCTTCTAAACTCTCTGTTCAATGCAAGTTTTACTTCTTCATTCATCAACCTATGAACTTTCTTGTTAACATTAGGACCGTCACTCTCAAACATCAACACTTTGGCTAGTGGAAGTTTCATTTCATCGATGACTTCTGTTACTTTTTTGAAAATATTTTCGGCAGTTGCAGACCCTATAAACATTATTTTTAAATGTTGTGAAATCACACAGTTCAGGGCATCTGACCAGTAATGTACAACAGTCTGCAATTCCTTCTTGTTCGCAGAGTTGGTAGTTTCATCATACATTATAGTAAAAAATGAATTTTTATTATCTTCACTAATTTCTTGCTTAAAGTAAGGAGCTAGGGCATCTGTGATTAAATAAGGAATTTTCCTTGGATTCAATGAAAAAGATGGTGGAATACTGTTAGGAAACATAGCTTTAAAAGTTGCGACAATGTCAGAAGATGCTGCTGATGAATAATTTGATGCAACAGTTTTCATTGCCCATATAAGTTCGGCAACAGTAGCAGATTCTTTTTCACTATGAAGATAAATGGTACGGAGAGTGTTTGTTCTGCTGCTTGCAGCTTGCATTTCCTCATTTGAAGATATGTTGTTAAATAAAAGCGATTGAAGAGGATTCTTTTTAATGTCCATTTGCTCTTGATGCTTTCTTGTGCCAGCATGCTGAGATATTGCTTGAAACCCCTTATTAGAGATATTCACAGTAGATGAACAAACTTGACAGAAGATAGAATAATCATCGTGTTTCTTTCCCCATTCTGATACTTCTTTGCCTGTACCATCATCTTTCATAAGCCATATTGGATTAAATGTGTATTTACTCATCATTAACAGTTAAAACCTAAAAAAAATGTAATAGTTTACAAATGACAATAAAAACGAACTTAATAAAAGTTTGTGTATAAAGAAATTATGAAATAAAACATATTCAAAGAGAAAAAAATATACTTATCTCCCTTTCTGAAGCAGCTAAGAATTCAGTAATTTTAATTAAATAACCGAAAAATACAGTAGAGAATCAATTAATCTATGTTTTATCAAACCCAAATTACAAGGAAAAAGTGAAACACATTTTAAAGTAAGAAAAAAAAAAGATCTCCTGAATTTAAAAAAAAAAGAAGAAAAATAACATTTAAAAGGATGAAAACATTTGCAAGTTTAGATAAGAAAAACAAGTTCAAAAAATACAAAATTCGCATATTTATTTTTTGATAATAATTAAAATCCCCAAATTAACTATTATAAAACAAAACCAATAATTAAAAAACGCAATATATTTCATATTTAATTATATTGGAGGGGGAGCGATAAAAGGAAAACTTATTAATTTAAATAAAAACATCACTTGAAAATTATCGAACGGAAACGATATTTAAAAAAGGCACTAACATAAATATTAAAACCTGGAACAAGACAAGATATTATAAGATAAACGGAATTTCAAAAAAAATAAAACTTAATGATAAAATCTATGAATAAAAAGAATTAATTTATTGAGTACGAAATTCATCTTAAAAAGAAAAAAAAAACTCAAACGAAGTGGAAGCAGAAAAACAGGATCAAAATTAAGAAAACAGCTATCTGCCTCATAAAATAATCGTCTGCTTTTATTAACAAATAATTATATGCTTAAATTAATAAACAATCGTCTCCTTTTATATTTATTTTTCATAAAAAGACTCTTTTTAACGAAAGCAGATGTGATTCCACATAAAAAAAAAAACTTGCTAATGATACCGTATTTCTAAAAAATCGGAATTTATTCAACAAAAAAATAAATAAATAAATATTGTTTTGTTAATCGATGTCAAATAGATGAATATAATTGGTGATTTAAAAACGTCCTGTTCCTAATAAATAATGCATTATCCGAAATAATAAAACATTTCATCATAATAAATCAAGAATAACAAAAACTAAGTAACTATAGTGGATTTAAGATAAATCTCACATTTCACCTTTAAAATCAATACTCTTAGATAGAAAATTCAAGTTCCTTAACTCCGACACTCATTGATATGCGTGTGCAATGCATTTTCCACACCCCCTCGTAAATCAAAGAGAAAACAAAATCAGCATGCCACTCCTTTAAGTTTGATTGACGGCAGCTTATCAGAAAAACAACCAACACGCATGAGAAAAATAAACATTTGTCCCTTCCCTGCCCCCTCTCGACCTAATGATCTTCAAATAAAAAAATTAATTATTGGAATATTGCTAATCAAATTTTTAAAAAAATCTTTTAAAGTAGATATTGAAAAATTAAACAAAGAATAATTAAATAAATAAATAAAATAATTATTGTACTATTGATAATTAGACTAAAAAAATACTGAATTTTGATACTAAGAATTAAATGCATTAGTATTACAAACCAGTTTCTGATCGAATTCGCGCTAAAAAAAAGTAAATTAATTCTAAATCTTGGTAGTAATGAGTACATCTTTCATTGAATCAAAAAGGTTTAATTTCCGTAGAACCATACTCAATTTTTTAGGTCATTTATTTCGATTTGTATAATTTTTTTTTATTATCTAATTTAATTTTTATATACCGGTATAATAGAAAAATAAAATTTTCTTTCCTAATTTAAAATATCATTCATTTATTTCGATTCCCAGAATTATTCTTAAAATTATTTATTAACTTCCCAATCTAAAATGTAACTCATTTATTTCAATTAGTAAAGATTTTCTGCCAATTTAAAAATAAAATTTCTAATTAAAATACTCATTCATTGTAACTTAAAAATAAAACACTTATAATTGCGTATTAATTTTCAAACTTAAAATATCCATTTATTTCAATTTAAAAAAAAAACATTATTTTAATTATGTATTAATTGTAATGTTTAATGTAATTTATGTAACTTAAAATATCCATTTATTTCTATGGGGAAAAAAAACATTCTTTTCATAACGTATTGATTTTCTTACTTAAAATATTAACTTATTTCGTTCAGTTATTTCCATTTAAAAGCGAAATTCGTAGCTGCCGCGATCGTTTAATGAACAAAATCAATTATTTGACGAACCCTTAATTAGTTAAATTTATAAAATTTAGCAGATTCGATTGCAAACTTTATTAAATATAATGGCGTCGGCAAGTATATAATAGGAATCCATAATAACAATATATTTATATGTTGTATTATATTTACTTTAAACAATGTTATTATTATATTTATATAAATGTATAAAATTACATACCTTGTATTAGAAAAACAAGTCCCATGCATCCAGCATATACTAGAAAATGAAATTCCAATTTCCATAAAATTCCAAAATCCAAAGCAGAGCAAACGAAAGTAGGATTGATGATGAAATTTCCAGATGAAGAACGTGAAATCTCTAACTGTGACGTCATACAGCATTTGAAACTCTTTGCACGGATTTCGCAAATCAGCAATTTCATTGGCGCTTTACCCTCACCCATTTAGGTGACTCACTAGGACAGGACAATAAGGGGGAGGGGAAAGCAAAGTTTTTTATGGGATTGAAAAAGGAAAATTGTGGAACGCAATTAAAAAAAAAGTTAGATAAGTGACAAGAGCTTAAAAATAGTAAATAAAAGTTACTATTTTTTAAGACATTGACTTTAAGTGAGAAAAGTGACTCCGCCGAGCCCTGCTTTATATCTTCTATGTGGTTTCTATAATACGAAATTAGTGCAAATGAACCAAATTTTAAATTGAAATTATTATGCATGCATTATATAATGAATGATCAACAATAACATATGTTCAACAATATTATCTATAATCAAATTCAGTTTTAAGCAAACAATAGGCATAAAATAACTTACCATAACTTATCAGTAATGGGTCAATCCCGATTCTACTTCCAACAGGAAGCACCTATAAAATATATTTATGAATTCTATGTTTATAATAAGTTAATAGAAAATTAAAAAATTAAGTTTATAACTTATGCTATGTATATTTATATTTACATATAAACAAATTGAAAAACATACATAAGTTTTTTAATTTCTCATACGTATAAAAGCAGCTAAAGAAAATCATGGCAATTTGAAATTTGTCAAAATCAATCATAATGAAGTTTTAGATTTGTAGTAGCCTTTAACATTACCACAGTATTTTTGAGAAAAAGTGTTACAGCTAGAAAGAAAAACAAGTTTGTTTTTTTTTTTATCAGAATTTCTACTTGGGGGAAAAAATTATAAAAATAAAATATAATACTTGTCCACAAAAAATATATAAGCAAATTAAAGAAAGCATAACATCCAAAAAATTAAAAAATATGAAATTGCAAATCAGAAGACGCCACAAAAGAGAGTTATAGTTATTAATTTATAACTCTCAATAACCATTTGTTTCAATTTCTTTTAAGGCAAGAATTTTGGCTTTTAATAATACAGTAATGAACCGATTATCCGGAACGATAGGGAACATCGCTATTCCGGATAACTGATTTTTCCGGTTTTCTGAATCGCTACAAAAAGCAGTTTTTTTTATTGTTAAACCCAATTAAAAAAATATATGTATTTGGAAATAATCTTTAAAACGATCTAATGATTATTTCCAAAATGATGGTAAGGTAAACATCTTTCAAAAAAGAAAGAAAAATTCTGAAATATTATGAGGAAAAAAACATTTTTTTTGAAAAAATAGCGGAAAATTTGTTGAATTTCGTTCCGGTTTTTTGGTTTTCCGGATAACGGGTTCTGTACTGTACTATCCTATTTCTTCTTCTACTTCTACTGGTAGAACTGACTCTTGGCAGGAGTGCCAACTCAAGTCTGGGCATAAAAACTTCAAGATTAATGTGGTAGAAATTTTATATTTGCCTGCCCCCTCCAAAAAAAATCGATGGAGGAAGACTCAGTTGGGGACTCTGCTGTAAGTCCCTATAACAGATTTAAATATGTTATGAGTCTTATGTAACAATATAAAATCAGTAATTTTTAATAGCTTTCGTAAATTTTTTCGGGTTTTAATCAATAAACTACTATTCCAACACTGTTTTGCTACTGTTACAGGAAAAACACCATTTAACTGGCAAAATCAGCAACTTCATCAAAATTTTAAAATATCTAACTAAAAGCTAAAGAATGAGCAGAAATGTAACTAAAGTTACATTGAAATGATTTACTATATATTGAGCTAAGTTTATGATTTTCAAACTCTGTGGTTAATTTCTAGTATTAAAAATAAAATCTTTAATAAACAAGATTCAGCAAAACTTCTAATTTAATAAATTGCGGAAAGTTTAGTTTTTTTTTCTTTTAAAAAATAATAATTTCAATTTTTCAAATAATGAATTGACATTATAATTTACTTAAAAAACTATAGAATCTTAAAATTATTTCAATTTTGAATAACCTGACTTTTACTAAAGTTACACAAATGAATCAATAGACCCAAATGAAGAATGCTAAAATAGTGATTTTTATTCAATATTGCAGCCATATATTCCTTTTTTTTTTAAATTTAATTATTTAAGACAATTATTAAGAAATTCATCAGAATCAAACAAAGGAGCATTCATTCCATCATAGTAAACAGAATTTTTATACCATTATTAACCTATCTAACAACAAAATTATCTGTTTCAAATTAATATGATCTAAGTAGGCATGTCTCTAGTATGTGTTTCTTGAATTAAAATCACCATCCATTATAGCTCCAAATTGAGAGGGGAAACCTCATTGTATTAAAATAACTTACGGACAGAATTTCAATTTAGTTAATTACAGGAGCCTAATAGAAACTATTCTAATAAATACTCTTGTTCTGACCCCCACTACAGAATTTTTGAGCTGTCTGTGACAAAACTCTCTAGCACTAATATTTTTCTGCAAAAGATACTTTTAATAATAACAAACATATATGTTACTAATTTAAAGTAACAAAAGCGCTGTTTACAAAAAAAAAATTATACTTTTTTTTTTTAATTGAACATGTAATAGTTTTTTATTCTAAAATTATGGGTGATATTTTCGCATTTTGTTGGAGTACTTTTGTTGGGAGGGGGTGCACACAAGCTATTTCCTTCTTCGCATTTTGTAAAGAATCATCTCAATAAAAGAAATAATGAAAAATTATGAAATTTGCAGTAGCAATTGCCGAAAAATAGATCGTCAAGGAAATGACTTGAATCAGACTCCTCAAATGCGTCTATCAGTTTGAGATTAGAATGTTGTAATCAATAATATCGTATAAAAAATATCTCAACTATGAAGAAATCAATAGCAATAACTGCCAAAGATTCAAAGAATTATTGCCTTAAAAAGTTAATACAGGGCTTCAAGTGGACTAAAACTATTTTGGAGCAGAGAAATTCTCACTTTGGAGCAACAAAACTCTATTTTGGAACAGCAAAATTAGCTAATTAAGAGCACCTTTTTTTTTAAAGAAAAAATTAACTGCAGTTATGGTAGTTAATATGTATGTGTGTGTATATATATATACTAGTGGGCTGCGTAACCTGCTCGCTAACCCCCAAAAATTGCTACGCAATCTTATATAGTTTGCTTTGCTAACCAAGCTTGCTTCGCTAGCTACTAACTTAGGTACATTGCAAATGCACAAAATTCTAAGAATTCAAATCCATATAACAACTTTTTCTTTAAAAAAAATTGGATCTTTTTAGTAAATACTAAGTCATTAAAATAAATTTGAATTCAAATAAATGACATGTAATTCGTTAAACCTATTAGAAATGTGCTATAGTAAAAAATCTTAAGATAAAATTTCTAAAACTGATATCTCTTTAAAAAGGTTAAAATTTTGGCTATAATTAAGTTTATTAAAAATTGAAATAAGTGAATTGCAATGGATAAACCTGCATAAACAAAACATTATGTTTTTAAAAAAATACTAACCATGAACGATTCACAACTTTCTTAAAAACATAAGTATGCGTCTTAGAGCTTTGACATAGTAAAGAAAAACTTGCAGAAACTAAACATTAATTTGCAATAAATACTGAGAAAGATTAAGGGCTTTGTTAATAACAAAAAATATAATTACTTTTAAAGAATAAGAACTTCCTTAAACACACAATTATAAATTTCTGGACTTGAAGCTATCACTGTTAGGCTGTCAAATGATCTAACCCTAGAGAGGCCAACATAAAGTTGCCCATGACTAAAAACTGGTTTAGTCAAAACTAAACTGATTCTTTCAAAAGTCTGGCCTTGTGACTTATTTATAGTCATTGAGAAAGCTAGACGTACTGGGAACTGTTTTCTTTTAAAAGAAAAATGGCATGTTGTTGTCCGGTGGAATCAAAGGTATCCTAGGAATAAAAAATGTTTCAGTTTCTTTAGCATCAATTAGTCGAGCTTCAATTATATTCCTTCTAAGGTTCGTAACAATTAATCTAGTTCCATTACACAGTCCTTTAGAGGGCATCAAATTTCTAAGTAGCATAATTATGGCACCTCTTTGAATTTTTAGTTTATGGGGAGGCATTCCTGTGGGAGTGATGCTGTTCAAAAATTCTTCAGGATAACTGAGTTGATCTTGCGAATCATCACTTATAATGGCGTCTACACTTTCATATATTTTTGAGCTTCATTGTAGAAATTCCAATACACGATCATTGAACACTATTGACAAATCATTTGCGACAGTCGAAATCGCTCTACCCTTAAGTTGTTGAGGTGTAACTGTTCTAAAAACAATGTCAGAATATAACTGTTTAATAGGATCTTGGATTGCAGGATAACAAATTTCTGGCAACTTAAGCACTTCTCCATCCTTGCAATTACCAACACTCAATAACCAATTTGCAAATTCCTTTTCACTTGTAAATGCACGCATGTTTTGGGTCAAAAATAAAACTTGAAATTTAGCCCAAAGTGGACGTTTCCTTAAGTAGCTAGCAACTGTCAGTGAGCGGGAACCTTTAGGAATCACTGGCAGCACTTGGCGAAAATCACCATCCAACAGCATAACTTTCCCGCCAAATGGTTGTGAACAATTCGTGATGTCTTGTAGAAGTCTATCCACAGCTAAAAAAGCATGCACATGAGTCTTGGGAGCTTCGTCCCATATAATTAGCTTGGAATCAAACAGTAAAGTAGACTCTTGAGATGAAGGCTTTAAATTACATGCGGACGTAGCATTCAGGATTATAGGAAATTTAAATGTTGAATGAGCCGTTCTCCCTCCACTTAAGAGAGTAGCTGCAATTCCTGTTGACGCAACAGGAATAACTGCATCCCCTTTGCCACGAATTATATGTAGCAAAGTGGAATAGATAAAAGTTTTACCTGTGCCTGCAGGGCCATCCAAGAAAAACAGTTTTTGAGGTTTATTTTCGTAAATTGCACTTAACACTACATCCACTACAGCACGTTGCTGCACATTTAGCTTTTCAAAATTATTCTGGCCGGCTGTATGTTCTCGAATCACATCATAGACTGGTAAACATTGTCTAATTTCAGGTAAGGTGACTTCTGGAAGGTTAACTTTCAGTAAAGTTAATCCATAAACTACTAACAGTTCACTAATTTCAGCAAGAGCATACTGTACTGCTGTTTCTTCAGAGTATTGACGAGCAAAATCTTCACAAAGAAGATCCCTATGCTCTCTCCAAAGTTCAGGAATGTTTTCAATTTCTCCGAATCTGCAGATAACAGCAAAGAGCATTCGCAAATGGCGCGGCATACGTATTTGTGAAGCTTCACACAAAGTATTATGCCAGTGTTCATCTCCTTTAAGAAAACCAAGTTCTCTACATGCTTGTTGATAGCTGGCACAGAGATTTCCATTAATGGGTTCTTAAATCGTCAAAACTAATTGCACCAGATTTCCTTAATAGCAGCATTCGCAAATAAAAACGTTCACTGTCTTGAATACTGACAACAGGCATCCTGCCAATAATT